AAGATGAAAACAACTTAAATGCTCATCAGTGGAAGAATTAATAAATCAACTATGGCCTTTATACACAATGAGACAGTATGAAACATTCAATGGTAATGATAAATCTGTGAGACACCCTCATAACATGGATGAACCTGGAAGACATTATGCTAAGTGAGACAAATCAATCACAAGGGGATAAATATTGAATATGGACATTATTGTAAAAAGTCAAGAAAAAGTTTTCATACTAACAAAAATATTCTTTAATTGTTACCAGGGGTGGAAGAGAAAGAGACAGGAGATTTCAAACCAGAATGTAGGCATATACTATCATGAGTGAAGGAGAAGACAAAATAAAAATTAGAGGGAAGTCAGCAAAGAAATGGAGTCACAGTAAGACATTGGGATAGTTGCAAGTATTAATGACAACAATGGAAAATACTGCAATAACATAACCCAGTGATCTATGAATGTATATATGGATAGACATGGGATATTTGCCCATGTTCCCCAAAAGGTTTGCAGCCTCATAAATCTATAGAGGGTGGCTGTGAGTTGTAATCAACTGGATGACAGAGAGTATTTACCTTTGCTGCAAATATATTAATGAATGTAGCAGGGCAGACAAGGGGCAAATTTACAAAAATTCTCAGACACAACCAAACATCTCAACGTAATGAGACCTTGGACACTCAGGACCATAATCTCAAGTGACATTAACATCATTTGGCATAACGTACACCACAAGGACAATGGTCCACATCCTACTTTAGTGAGTAGCAACTGGGCTCAGAAAAGTTTCTGAAAGACCATCTTAGGTGCAACTTTTGGTCACTCCTGTCCAGTGGTAATAAGAGTGAAGAAAATTGAAAGACACATGTAAACAATTAATCCAATTGGACTACTCAAACATCACTGTCCATAACTCGGAGGTCAGAAGAAATAGATGGTACACAGCACCCCTACCAACTGCTCTAAGGTCCTCCACAGAGCAGGAGAAAATGTGGAACAAATCTCAAAATCATGAAAAAGACCAGGCTTACTGGTTCAATAGAGACTGGTGACCACTAGTCATACTTCAAATCTGGACCTGATCTCACTTCCATGGCTCAATTTTCTGCCCTAAATAGTAGCCTAGAGGGGAACAGGAGCCCTGGTGGTGTAGTGGTTACAAGTTGGGCTGCTAACAGCAAGGTCAACAGTTCAAAACCACCAGCTGCTCTTCAGCAGAAAGATGGGGCTTTTTACTCTCATAAAGAATTACTGTCTCAGAAACTCACAGAGACAGTTCTACTGTGCCCTATCCTCACTATGAATCTGTATCGACCCGATGTGACATGCTTGTTGTTTTTAAATGGGATAAACAGTAACACCAGAGAGGTATCTATATCAACCGCTCAAGATCAAAAGGGCAATATTTATCCAAGGCCAAAGTCGTGAAAGGTTCGAACAGAAAGAGGAATGGAAACATGAAATATCAAGAGGAAGTGAGATCAGTGAAGATTGTGAAGACTGCACGTAATGAGAAGAAACAAAATGTGTATGAAATGTTCAATGAAAATTTGATCTGCTCTACCAATCTTCACTTAAATCACAGTGAAACATTTCAAAAGCAAAAAAAAAAGTAGGGACAATGAGTCTACAGAGATAGCATGAGAATCTTCCCAAAACTCAAGTACCACAACAGCCGCTCCAGAGGCTGGCTGTGCCAGGGCGTTCAAGTGAACACTGCATTCTCTGGCAAAACGGAGCTGAGTCACCGGGATGCCCCATGTCACAAGCAAGAAAGCAAAAGGTCCAACAAGTGCTGCTTTTCAGGGATCTTTAGGGTTAGGTTGTTTGTGGGCTACATCTTCCTAGTGGCGTGTCCAAAATAAGAAAGACAAAGTCTCGCCATCCCCGATTCATGCTGGCTGTGCTTTGTTCAAAGCTGGGACTGTTGCATTAGTCCAACTCCTAGTCACGTGTGAACAACAGAACAATCACTGCCATGGCGGCCCCCATTGTCCACCCATGTTCTTTTTTGCTGACCCTTACTTTATCAAGGATGATGCCATTCTCCAAGGATTGACCTCTGCTGATAGATTTAGTCATTCTTCTGGTAGTTCCTGATATAATCAATATTCTTTTCCAACACTGTAATTCAAAGGCATTTCCTTATTCAGTGCCCAGCTCTCACATGCATATGAGACAATTTTAAATGGCTTGAATTAGGCACTTCTTAGTTCTCAAAATGTCACTTTTGCTTTGTACCACTTTAAAGACATCTTTGGCAGACTTGCCCAGAGCAATGCATCATTTGATCTCTTCCATGGGCATTGATTGTGGATCCAAGAAAAATGTAATCCTTGACAACATCAGTCTTTTCCCCATCTATCATGATGCTACTTATTCAGCCAGTTGTAAGGATGTTTGTTTTCTTATGTTGAGGTGTAATCCATAAAGGTCTTAGTCTTTGTGCTCTTCTCTTTTAGCCAGCAAAGTTACCTCATATGCATATCACTGACTGTGCTAATCTTGCCCGAATGCAAATGCTGTGTTTCTCTTCATAGAGTCCAGCTTCATTTGCTGATATACAGATTGAATAATCTGATGAAAGTCTGTAATTTACCCATTAGAATAATGAATGGCCAAACTTGTCTACATTTTGATGGTGGAATCATGAGAACTACTACCAGATCACTGTCCAAAAAGAGGGAAGTGCATAGGACCTGTCTACATGAGCCACTCTTCATCAACCCAAGCGATTCTGTGCAAACTGCAGCATGTGATCACGCGAGAAATGCTGGTGTCAAGTGTTAAGGGCCAAGTCTGTAGTCAGGAGAGATTCCCACATCTTTGTCTCCTGAAATTTTTTAAAACATTTTATTTGGTGTGCCTCCTGAATTTTATTTCCATTGGAAGTGCCTTTGTACTAATGAATTTTCCATCCAGTAAAATCCTGGATTTCTTCTGCTGTCACAGCATTTGCATTCATCTTTTATTATTGCGACTAGCTGGTCAGAGGTGAATTCTCACCGTGCATGTCATATTACCATTTGCTTGGTGTTGCACACCACAGAGAAAGAAGAGCAGCCATTCTGGCAACCAAAAGGATCCAGTTCTCAAAAGGAATCCCCACATACTAATTCGCCTGTGGATAATAAACCCTCACGTAAATATTTCTACATTGGAGCGATAAAAGCAAAAGTAGTATTTTTCCTTTAAATTCATCTAGCATTAATATAAGGTTTATTGGGATGTGAATTGTCCTGGTACTTTAAGTGAATTCAATTGAGAAGGTATTAGGAAGAAGAAAATCTTGTAAACTGATAAGGGCTTAAAGTAAAATTTTAAAATTATGGAATTTCACTTTATTCCCTTTATGCTCAGTGAATCCAGAAATCAGAGACATTTCTTAAAACCCTGCAAGTCAAGACCACTGTTCTAGCAGCCCCATGGTCTGAGTAGAACAGGCCTGCTGACAGCGGAGGATCCTGAAATCTGTGTGAACAGTGTTTGGTTAACTTCTGCTGTACTTCCATTTTGTTGACATTTATATTCTGATGATGAAGATTAACTTTAAAACCACAATCCGTCCTGTCTCCCAATGATTCAGCACTGGTGGGCAAACACTAAGAATTTTTCTGGTTGAAGGCATGTTGAAAACTTGAAGAAGAAATACAGAGAGTAAAAACAGAAAAGCTAAACACTGTATTTTAGCTAGAAAACAAGAAAGACTAATGTTGAAGTATTATGTAAGCCTTTAAAACAGAATAATTATATTGTGCTAATGCTAGTGTTTGATCTAAGGGTTAAAATTTGTTAAATCTGAAAGCACAGAAGTAAACACCACAGAGAAGTGAATTACCGTTTGTTCATTCATCAAGTTACTGAGCTTGGGTAGGGAGTATTTTAGCCCTCTGGTAATTCCATGGGGTTTCTTCATCACCCCAACATTCTTTCATGTCGAGCAGCGACATTTTCTCAAATTGATGTAAGATGATTCGCACATGAATCTTCAAGCTCCCTTTCTCCCACCAGATTGTCACTGCGGTCTCTTCAAATTAGACTTTTCTGCAGCAGCTATAAATGTATGTTATGCTCTCTCATCAATTGTTCTCTCTTCTGAATTTTTCATAAGAACAAGAACAAGCCTCTAGTCACACTGAGATGTAATATCTAAGTTTAAAATGGAAGTAAATCCTTCGATTGATGTGAGTCACATTTTTTTAAATTGCTTCAGCCAGCACCCAAGGCAACATATTGTTCTTTCTGAGTGGGTGAATTGGCAATAGAAGCACAGATGGCTCTTCTATGAATAATTTATTTCTAACAAATTAACTGAGAAATGAATTTCTGTTGACTTATAAATCAGGATGACAAATAACAAAGACACACTGTTATTATGCCCCCTCTTAATTCTTTTTCCTTTCTTCTATCGTAACCTCCTTCATTTATTTTTTCCACATGATCTTTTTGTCACCTTCCTAATGTTCAAGCTGACTCTACATAAGCCCTCTTTTAGCAATTACTCACTCTCCCTGCCATCGAGTTGATTCTGTCTCACAGTAACCCTAGAGAGCAAGGCAGAACTGCCCCTGTGGGTTTCCAAGACTGTACCTCTTCACAGGAGTAGAAAGACTCATCTCTCTCCCACAGAGTGGCTTGTGGTTTCAATCTGGTAGCCTAGAGTTTAGTAGCCCAGCGCACAACCACTATGCAACCAAGGTTCCTTATTGGGTTTTTTGGTTCTTATTGTTTTCATCAAATTTTTTATTGATTTGTTTTTTGTTGTTGTTGAGAATATGTACAGCAAAATATATAACACAACAATTTCTATAGATGTAATTCAGTGACATTGATCACACTCTGCAAGGTGTACAGCCACTCACTCCTGTACTGAATTAGCCCTCTGCCGTTAATATGAACTCGCTGTCCTCTGAGTTGCCTACCAACCCTTGTGAGAGGTTATTGTCAATCTGATTCCATATACATAGTTTTTTTCTCTTTTTTTTCCTTTTTTTTAGAGTCCCCCAAGGGGGTGCACCATTCCTGGAAGTACTGCAATACCAGGTCAATGCATGGAGTGGACAGAGCAAGCTCCTATTCCATCTCCCTGCTCCAAAAATCAATCTAATATATTGTCCTCGGATAGAGGACTGATTCCATATATTTAGTGTTTTAAAGAGCACAATGCAGATATTGCTTACTATTATAGCTAAACTGTCACATCATTTTAAACAGTTATTTTTATTTGTTGTTACCATCTATACTCGTGTAAGCCAACTTTTTCAGCACATTTTTTAATGCAGTTTTTGTGGTAAAATTAGGTGCGTTGGCTGATACTCATGTTGGCTTATACTCGAGTGTATAGGATACCTTTCCTTTTTTTGTTGTTATTACTACCATTGTTGGTACTGAGTTTATTTGTTTGTTTCAAACATGAAGTTTATCCTAACAAACTAAAGAACTCACTACCATTTGGCCCATTCCAACTCATCAAAATCCTGTAGGACAGGTCACAACTATCCCTATCCTTGTGGATTTCCTTAAGAAAGAGAAAGCCTCATCTTTCTCCACACTGGTTTTTGAACTGCTGACCTTGTGGTTAATAGCCCAACTCATTACCCACTACCCCATTCCAAAATCAAACTCACTGCCATCAAGTCAATGCTGACTCATAACGACCCCCTGTGGGCGTCAGATACTGTAACTGTTTAGGGGAGTAGAAAGCCCAAGAAAACAGGTAGAGAGCCTGCCTAGGGCCCATATACATCTTTAAATCCTCTTTGACAGAGATCTCATCTAAGCTGAGGCCAGTTCTCAATCTGGGGGTAGAGGGAGAAGACCAATCAATTGCTGCCATACAATATTGTGCTAAGGTCACTCCAAGTCAACAGACACTCCTGAAAGAGTGCTAAGTGAAACTTATTGGAAATTAAAGTTAAGACAGAGGAAACGCAGCATGAATGACTTGGAGAAGGCAATTACACTTCTGTGAGTGGGCAACCCAAGTGAATCAACCTCCCATGGGGATAAAATGCTTAACAATATTTATATAGAAGAACACCAGGGGAGCATACACTTGGTACTATATTTCTAATTGGACACTTTTGACCTGGTTTCTATTCATCCTTTAGTGACCCAGGCTGCATGCAATAGATTACGAGCATTGTGGGCTTATCTTTGAAAAGGCAGCCATCTAATTGAGGTGACAACTAAGTCCATATGGAAGCATATCAGACTGTGTGATCCAAAAATTGTAAATCTTAAAGTCCAAATGCAAAGGAGGAAATTGTATCAGAGCTTAAATTCTGAACACTCAGTTCACAGAAGGCAATCAATGACAGTGGAACCCCAAAATCCACTTGCAGTGTCCCCACGTGGATTAAGCCTCCAGGAAGTTCCTCTGACCATAGTCCAGATGCTGTCAAAGTTCACTGTAAAGTCAACTATTGGTGGTGAAGAACTCACTGCCATCAAGCCAATGCCAACTCCTAATGACCCTCTGGGACAGGGTAGAATTGCCCATGTGGGTTTTCAAGACAAAGTCTTTATGGAAGTAGAAGCCTCATCTTTCTTCTGAGAAGCACCTAGTGGTTTCCATCGGTTGACCTTAAAGATAGCAAAGAAACCACTATGCCACCAAGGTTACTGTAATGAGGGTAAAATGTAACACCTTATCATTTGATTTCCCCTTTGACACATTTTTAACTTGTTTTTCTTTTAATATTTTTTGTTTTCTTTTTTTTAAACAGTTTTATTGGCACTTCATTCACGTATCATACAATCCATTAGCTCAATCATATCTAGGTGAGTTGTAAATTTTAGAATATTTTCTTCCTCCTTGTACTTGTTATTCATATGATGGTATTTTTTTCTTTTTAAAAAATGTTTTTAAATAAATCATTTTATTTGGGGCTCTGACAGATCTTATAACAATCCTTACATCAACTGTATCAAGCACATTTGTACTTAAATTGCTATCATCATTTCCAAAACATTTTTCTTTCTACTTGAGCTCTTTTCCCCACTCCCTCCACTACCCTCCCACCCTAGAAAACGCTTGATAATTTATCAATTATTTTTATTTTCATACATTACACCGTCCGCTGTCTCCCCTCACCCATGTTCCTGTTGTTTGTCTTCCTGGTGGCGAGGGTATGCCGATCATTGAAATTGGGGCCCCCTTTCTTCCCCTTCCCCTCATGGTATCTCATTATTGGTCCTGAGGGGGTTATCTGTTCTGGATTCTCTGTTGAGAGCTCTTATCTGTACCAGTGTACATGCTCTGGTCTAGCCAGATTTGTAAGATAGACCTGGGGTCATGATGGGGGGGGGGGCGCCGCAAACATTAAAAAACTAGAGAAATGTTGTGTGTTTCATTGCTTCTATACTGCACCCTGGCTCGTCCCTTCCTCATGACCCTTCTGTGAGAGGATGTTCAATTGCCTACCGATGGGCTTTGGATCTCCACTCCGATCCCCTCATTCACATTGATATGATTGTTTGGGGTCTACTGATACCTGATACTTGATCGAGGCTTTTCCCTCTTTCGTCTGCCACTGATATAGGGGCTTTCTGTTTGTTTGCTTGCTTCCGGTTTGTGCTTTGTATGATCTTCTGTATACGAAATCCTGGACAGGCAAATCTATAGTAACAGTAACTGGATTAATAATTACTTAGAGGCATGGCAGGGGAAGTTGGGAGGAAATGGGGGGATAAGAGCAAAGATACAAGAAAATGTTCTAAAACTGATGTGGTGATGATTCCACAACTCTTCTTAATATGATTGAATGATTAAATTGTATGATATATCAATTATATGCCTACATAACTACTTTTTTTAAAAGAGTTACAGTCTTGGAAACCCACAGGGCAGTTCTACCCTGTCCTATAGAGTTGCTGTGAGTTGGAATCAAACTGATGGCAGTGAGGCCAAAATAGCATTGATAACTTAAGAACACATGTCTGGGGAGTCCGACAGCTGAATACCACAGGACAAGCCTTCCGTGTACAAACACATATGAGGGGACTCAAAACATATGTGGGAAAAATTTTAATTTCATTTTCATTTTCCATGAGTGTCTGAAGCCTTTTATACATCCAATTACAAATCATAAAAATAGTTCCTAAATCCGTTCTTTCTTCAATCCTCTGCCCTCATCATCGCTCACTAAGTCTATGAAAACAGTTTACTCCTACCTTCAGAACTAAATTCTCCACCTATGCTCTCCTCCACAAAAATCTGTTTCTCTCACACAGGACAAAATCTAAATTTTTTATATTTGAAATTCATCTATACACTAGGTAGATTGTGTTGTCTTTCAGCATCTGCCTACCCTTATCCACCAATCCAATCCAGCCTCTCCTTGATTCACATTCCAAGCTCAAGCAATGTTAAAGTATTTACAGTTCGTATATCACCATATCTCCATGTACAAATTATGTCTTCCTGCACAGATCCCTTATTCCTCATTTCTTCATCTAGAAATTGTTACACATGCTTCAAATTCTGCTCAAATGTCAGTCCTGCAGGAGCTTTCCCTGAATTCTCTCCAGATACCCTGCTCTAGATTGACTGAATGTCTTTTCTCCTAAAATGCTCACTACAGGCTGCTATCATGGCAAATACTATAGTGTCTTTAAATTCTATATTTACCTGTCTCCTACTAGATATATAGACCTAATGAGCCACAATATGCTTTCTGTATTCATCTTTGAAATCCTGGGGGTGCCTGAATTAGTAGTTAACAAATGTTTGACCCAAAGAGTGTCAATTGAATCATCAGCCCACCTCACCCCCATCCTAACCCCTAATACATTTATAAATTCACATCCAGATATAGGTCACAGAGGTTGGCAGAACAGAGGTAAAACCCATGGAATTCTAAATTATAAGGTTTTAAAATGGCGCTTAAAGTGAGTATCTGATTCTTTTGCCAGTTGAGAATTAATTTCCCCTTTATTCAGTAGGAGAATCCTGATTTTCCCTAGTATGATCCCTTCTCCATATGACCCAGGCCTAGCCAATCAATCTACTCCACCTCTCTCACCATAGCAACTGTTTCAAAAATGAACATGCTACCCAAGCAAGCCAAAGAGACTCAGTGAAGAACTCTGGTTGAAACTTGTCACTTTATGAGAAAGGAGACAACGCCAAGAACAACAGTTCCCAGACAAAGTTCTCAGGCTTTCTCTTCCACTTGGATCCAGCTAATTCTGAAGCTCAGTTCCTTTCAGGACTTGTCATTTCTGCAAGCCAACTTAGTTTCTTTTTCGCTTGAGTAGGGATTCCCTTAACACAAGAATTACAGTACAATCTGTGACTAACAGAGTTCCTTGAGAGATCCGACTTCTATAATCAGCCAAATCGCAGAAACAAAAGTAGTTGAGAATAATAAACAATGAAAGCCACAATTCCTCTACAAAAGAAAATAAAGTTAGAAACAAACCTCTGAGTTCCTTATAGACATCTGTTAGCTGAGGTACAAAAAAGGCCAATATATAAATTATTAAAATCCCATTTACTTTGGCTTGTCTCTAAAATAGACTAAATAGGAAATTGGCTGAGCTCTGACACACTCTGATCCAATAATATGTAATGTTATTCTTAAAATATGTTTTGATAGGAACCAGACAAAATCTCTAGGGTTATTTTAAGCAGAGTAAATGCATCACATACTAAGTTGAAGACAAATGAAGCTGCATAAAAGTATAAAACTCCCAAATACAAGATGGATATCTTTCATGGTGCCTGGAATTATACACCTGTGGCCATAGAACCCATTGAGACCAATGTCTTTCTGACCACCATTTGTGGATGAAGAAGGTCCTTGATAGAGTGCAGACAAGGCCTCTTACTCAAAGCTTAGAGAAATGTCCCGAAGTTTTTGCCAAGACATTGGGGAGAAAAGAATACTATGATGAAAGACACAACCCTGGTGACACAATGGGTAAGCACTCAGTTGCTAACCAAAGGTAGGATGTTTAAACTCACCCAGTAGTGAAACTCATAGAGATGCTATGTTACATCCCTCTAAAAACCATCATTAGGAACCTAAAACAGAATAGAACTACTCCACAGATTTCCAAGGTTGTAGATCTTTTTGGAAACCCTGTGAGAAGCCAAGAAAAGAACTTGGAAAATGTACAAGAAAGGAAGCAAGTTAGGTATGAAGGAGAAGGTACAAGAGGAGGGTCAACACTGTGGGCACTTGAAAGTTCAGGTACAGAAGTCAGATTGTGTGGTACCATGTCAACCCACCTGACAAGAAACCAACCATAAAAGCTAATATAGGACACACACACACACACACACACACACACACACACAAATGCTACATACATTGAAAGAAGTTGAATTCAGAAAGCAAGTTGATTACTCTCAGTGAGTATAATGGTAAACCATAGAAAAATACCTTGAGTAATTTTTGTACACCAATCCTGTAGCATACATAAATTAAAGGAAGATTAGGGGGTGGAAGGGAACCTTTTTTTCTTATGTTGTCAAGTTACAAAACTAGATTCCAAATTTCGATCTTATCCCAAATACATGCAGCCGTCATGGTATAGTGGTTAAGCACTGCGTACCAGACAGCCGGTGGTTGGAACACATCAGCCTCTTGTTCCATGAAGATTTAAAACCTCAGAAACCCTATGAAGCAGTTCTGCTCTATTTTATGAGTTTGATATGCATCTGAATCAACTTGACAGCAACAGGTTTGGCTTGGTGTATCCCAACTATACTTCCTATAATCGTCCAACTATACCAGGCTGTTGCTCTAAAAAATGCCAACCCAAAGGATTTAAGCAGTAGTGTGCTATACAGCTATTCTATACAACAGCATCCCTTTCATCCACAGTCTAAAAATACTACGTATCATTTAGAATACACATAACCATTTAACAAAACCAAAAAGTTCTGAGAGAACTTACAGAGTGGTTTCGGAAAAAAAATAATCACTGAAGTTATTTTAGTTTGGAAACAGAATTATATAAAACACAATTGTTTTCATTTGAGGATAATAGCCAGGAGAATGGCTTATTCTAATGTGAGCAAATATTAAACAGAGATTGGGGCCTAGCCCTTTTCTAGGTCCACTGAAACAGGATAAGATGAAATGACCTATGCTCTATCTAAAGGCTATGAGTTAGAAATACAGATGAAATTGGGGAGACATTCTGAAAAGGATTACGAAAGTTCTTTCCTTAATCCTAAAATAAACTTTTTAAAGTAAATATTCATATTTTTAAACAAACACAGATATGTTGTGTATCTAATATTATTCAAATTTCATTCTGCCAAAAGCACTTGGAATAGCCTCGATCAGGATTCTCTGTTTTTGTAGATAACATTTATTGGAACACAACCAAGCCCATTGGTTCCTGTATTATCTGCTTTTGCCTTCAACAGATGGCTCACAAAAGTGAAAATATGTTCTGACTCGTTACTGGGAATGATACAAGAGCCTGTCAGATGACTGACATTGATCAAAGATAAATGCCAGCTACTTTTGATTAGGACTGGCTTATAGTACTGATGAGTAATGTTCACCCTTGAGTTTCTCTTGAAGTACTATTGACCTAATTGTCTAAAATATGAGAGAACAGGAGATCCATCTGCATCACTAATGACGGTGCTGCCTCTGAGTAGAGAAAGCAGAATGGAGACAGGAAAGAAAAAGAAGGAAGAAAATGGAGGAAAGCACACAGAGGAGAAAGGATGCCATAGGTTCAAACACCGAGCACAAAGCTCCCTCAGCAATAGCTGTGGATTTCTTCCCAGATTAGACTGAAGCATGGTTATATTGCTGGTCACTTGGTAATAAAAGTAAAAGAACAATAAAGCTTTAATATATGGTTCCAGTAAAATCGAAAAGGATAATGATTCATTAAATTAATATTCCTTGAATGCCGTACTGAAGACACTGGGGGCTTAGCAAACAGACACAGTTGCTGCCTTCAGTGGTATATATTCTTGTTTTGGAAAACATTCAACAAACAAATTAAAAAATAAAAATACAGTGCACTGTGTTATGGAAAGAAATGAAAGAAGACAAGGCATGAAATGAGAGATGGAATATGGGCAGGGCAGGAGAAAGGAGCATGCCAAGCCAGGAACACAGCAAAGGCAATGGCTGTGAGGAAGGAAATACACACCCGGCTTGCTCAGGGTCCTTAGAACCTAGGTGGAGGAGCAATGGGTATGAGGGGAAAGGAGAAGAGTTTGGAATGTGGTGTGCCCCTGGAGACAAGAAGCATGAGGACTTGTAAGGATGTTCTATTTTCACTGTCAGACAAAAAGCTACTTGAAGTAAAAAAGTGACATGACCTCCTTGTATATTTAACTGGATGACAGGTGACAAGAAAGAAGTAGGAGTCAGTGAGGAAGTTGTCGCAATAATCCAAGAGGGAGATGATGGCAGCTTGGACCGAAGTGTTGGAGGTGGGGGTGTTTTTTTTTTTTTGAGAGAGAAGGGAGTAAATGCTAGCTCTATTTTGAAGATATTAGGGTTTGCAAGTAGGTCAGATGTGGAGTGTATGAAAAAAAGGAGGCCAGGGGCTTTTACTCAAACAAGTTCAGGGATACGACTGACATTTACCAAGAAGCAATGATTATAAGAGAAACATTTTAGTGAATAATCAAAAATATGTTCTCTTTTAGTCATATTAAATTTAAAATATAACGAGAAATTCAATTTAAGGTATACAATGCTGGAATTCAGAGCTAGTCCTCTTGTGGAAATAAACAGGAAGTCCTTGTTTTGCATAGTTCCAATATGCGTTAATGCCAGTTATCACAGTTTAGCTGAATAACACTAGTCCCCCAACACCATTCAAATATCAGTTATCATGGTATATTAACTGTGAGTTTTTCAGAAAGCAAAACTTTGCTGCTAGCTCCTCAGTTCATAAATCATTACCTAAGGAGCAGGTGGCCAATGTAATCAGTGACCAATTATATCACTTTTAAAATGTTTATCATTACCATCTGTCAGACTGTATAGCAGGTAGTAATGTTACCTTCTTGTTTCACAGTGACAAACCCACATAACCTCTTAAACAAATGAACAGCTGAAAGAGGGGAGTCTGCTGCAGAGAAACAAAAAGTAATCACACTGAGCCTGCCATTCAAATTGAATGTCAAACGAGACCAAAAGGAACAGCTCACTGGAAATATTGACACCATTCCTACCTGAGAGAAACTTAGTTAAGAGAAACTAGACGTTAACATGGAAAATGGTTGTGCCAAATGGGTATAGATGTCCCAGAGGAGGTGATGCTCAAAAAAGCTTCATATTACAAGAACTCTGGAGACATTTCACAGCATTACAGCACAAATGAAGAGTTGTTGGCACAATTTGCCAAAAAATAGAATGACAGAGTAGACAGAGGATTTCATTGCATGTTATAAATTATATGATGGGAAGGAGGAAGCAAGCACTGTTCAAACTACTCTTTTATTATTATTATTAGTTGGGATTTGATACATATATATCATTCCATGTTTCAATCAAGTCAAGTGGAATTGTATAATCACTACCACAATCAATTTCTGAACAATCTTTTTCTACACAAATTCCTTGACATTGTCTCCCTTTTAACCCCATCAAAGCTCTTTACCCCCTCCCCCCAAACCCCTTATTCTACTTACTGCCCTTATAGCAAAAACCAGAGAAGCATATAACACAGCTTCAAGAGAGTGACCTCCATTGACATAACACCTGAGATACACTCTACTATGAACAAACAAAACAATATGGGAAACAGAAAGGTTATTTCCCAGATTGTTCCCCCATATTATATGCCAAACCTAAGGTGCTGCTTGCTAATACATGGTCAATGACCAAATACTTGGAGGTCAACTGCTTAAAGGTTATCTTCCTGAAATTTATCAGCCATCTAGAGCAATCAGACCCTATAGTCTGTCCCACCCTAAGTAGGGCCCACTCCCTTCTGATAAGGGTAGTGGATTTTTCCCTGGAAGGAGAGCCCAGAGGCAAGGTCAAGCCCACTCAAGGATGACCAAGGCTAGACTGCCATCTTGAGTCTAGGGTCCTCCAACCTTGTCACATGTGTACCCTTAATCCCTCCTCTTCCTGTTGAGTCTACACCCCTAGATCATCCCCCTCCCATTGCTGTATTGTCTATGGTACAACTCCTTACTGTTGTGTATGTGGTCACCTGTAATCAGGGTGCTTGCACGTCCCCAAGTACATATAAGCCTGGCTTAGAAATGAATATTTCTCTCCTCTTGTCTCCCATCCCCACGTAGACCACCAAGAGGGGCTGAGGCGAGCATGCTACCATGAAATGTGTCTGACTCCTTTATTTTATTCTCTCTCCTATTTCTCTCATCTCTATGACTCTACAGTTACCCCTACGGAGCCATGATATTGTCAGGGACTGATTTACCCCAACAGTTGTTACTGCTGTTGTTAGATGCCATTCAGTTGGCTCCAACCCATAGCAACGCTATGCACAACAGAACTAAACACTGCATGGTCCTTTGCCATCCTCACAATTGTTCCTATGCCTGAATCCATTGAAGCAGCCACTTTTGTCAATCCATTTCACTAGGGGCCTTCCTCTTTTGCACTGGCCCTCCACTTTACCAAACATGCTGTCCTTCTCCAGGGACATGAAGACCAAATCTTGTCAGGGACATGAACAACCAAGCCTTGTCCTTCTGGCTTCTAAAGAAGACTCTGGCCTTACCTCTATCAATAAAGATCTGTTTGTCCTTTTAATTGTCCATGGTACTTTCCATAGTCTTCCCCAACACCACACTTCAAATGTATTGATTCTTCTACAGTCTTCCTTACTCAATGTCCAACTTTCACATATATATGAAGCAATGGAGAATACCACAGTGGGTTAGCAGGGTTTTCTAAAAAAACAAAATCAGGACACTTGTGTGTGTGTGTGTGTGTACATACATACATATGTATATACCTATAGGTTTATGCCTCATGAAGGAATATAACAGCTAATTAGTCCACACAGCAGTACAAGGGGCTCAGTTCAATTCAGGGTGGGGCAGCAACAGTCAGTAGCTTGGAAGTTTAGCAAAGCAGGTCCCAGGCCCCGGATGGGATCTCAAACTCTAGCAATGTACATGTGGGCAACAGGATCCACCAGCCTCTGCCTCAGTGGTTTTCAACCTTCCTAATGCCACGACTCTTTAATCCTTATGTTGTGGTGAACCCCCAAAGATAAAACTATCTTTGTTACTACGTCATAACTGTAATTGTGCTACTGTTATGCATCATCATGTAAATATCTGATATGCAGGATGTATTTTCATTGTTACAAATTGAGCATAATTAAAGCATAGTGATTAATCACAAAAACAATATGTAATTATACATTGTGAAATATTTATTTCTAATTACAAATAAATGAAATTTTATTTTGAAGCGTGGTGTAGCATGGATAGCAGTCTTAATATAACAACAATAAACTACATTGCTACATTTTGGGACAGTATGTGTAAAAATTCAACATCAAAAAAAAATTTTTTTTAATTCGACATCAATGCAAAGGTTGAGATAGCTTCTTTCTCACCAGATCAGAAATTCTCAGAGCAGTCTTTGCAAGAGCATAAGGAAGATCATCTTCCACAAGTCTGTTTCTGTATTGAGACTTGATAACCAACAAGCTGGAAAACCCTGTTGCACAAAGATAAGATGTTGGAAATGGAAGAAGAAGGTGCAACACAGTCTCAGACAGAATAGGATATGACTGCAAACACTTGATCCAGAATTTTGTAACTGGCATTGTAGAGAAATCAGTTCTTGCTACATTGCTGTAATCCTTTTGTCTGGTTCAATGTCATGTTCCTGAAAGAAATGTCATGTTCCTGAAAGAAAGCAGATAATGTAAGCAATACTTAAACTTTATTTTCATCCAATTTTTTTTTTTTGCCAAGGCTGAAGTTTCATATGGAATGATAGGATCTTTTCAGACAAATCAAGGCATGTTGCACTTGGTCCTTATAGTGATAAATTTAACTCATTCAAGATGGCACAGATGGCAACCAAGTAAGCTGTTTCCTACAGTTCACTTTTAACGCTAAAAATTGATTCGAACTGCAGTCTTGCTTTTTGATTAAAAAATGTTTTGAGTTCATCACGAAGCTCAAAAACACGTTTTAAAACTTTTCCTCTCAACAACCACCTCACTTCAGCGTGAAATAGTAGAGCATTATACGGTGCATCCAACCCGCTGCACATTTGCGAAAACAGTTGACCGTTTAAAGTGCTCGCCTTTACAAAATTGACAGAACTTATGATGCTTTTCATTACTTCTTGTAACTCTTGTGGCAGTGTCTTCATTGCTAATATTTGCCTATGAATCATACGGTGAGTTCCGATGACTTTTGGTGACTCATTCAGTACCAAACGAAATCCAGACCGACATCTTAGCATAGCTGGAGCACCATCTGTGCAAACACCACAGACCTTTCCCAAAGTAATCTAATGCTTTTCAGAAATGAACCAACTGTGTCAAATACATCACGTGCAGTAGTTGTCATTTCAAGAGGTTTGCAAAAAAGAAACTCATCTTTAAAGTCGCCATCATTAATACACCTCATGTAAAGCAGAAACTGTTAGCAGTTTGCACCGTCTGTAGATTCATCAAGCTCGATGCTAAATAGTGGAAGTGGAACAGATTTAATTTCCTGGATTACCTGATCAAGAATATCAGCAGACATGTCCTCTACTCTTCCGTGGACAGTGATGTTAGATAAGAAAATTGCACTCAATTCCATAACAAATTTGTCTCCAGTCATAACTTGAACAAATCCTCAGCAATGGTGTGAGGTTTCATAGCTCTTGTGATTCTGAGTGCCACCAAATATGAAGCTTCAACAGCTGCTACATTTGTTTGTGGTATTTGCCACCAGTGTCAAGTCTGGCTTTCTTGAGTCCATCAGCTTTGCTTCTAAAATAGTTGGTATTCTTGCTGGCAAAGCTCGGATGCTTGCTATCAAAATGGTGATTTAGTTCATTCGTCTTCATAAAGTTGGCTGATAGAACTTCACAACAAAGAACACATTGCGGTTTCTCAATTCCTGCTGTAATTATTGAGGTAAAACCATACTGTAAAAAATCCTCACTGTATTTTCTTTTCTTAATGTTCTTCTCTACATGATCCATTGTCATGGGATGGTTTGCTAATAAAATAATACATAACAATAGCTCTAATAATACAAAAGATGATACGTGGCATATAGTTCATAGTCAATACAGTTCATTAAAGTTTCCTATGTTTTACCATTCTCTGTGTTATTGTTTTTTAACATACCTGTTACTATCACACAAGGGTCAGTATTCACATAAACCACTGCTGAATATAAAAAGCCCGATCAGCATCCAGATTAAGTTCCTATGGTACAGATATATATATATTTTTTTTTTTTGCAGTAGTTGATGATTTTAC